GCGATCTGGCCGCGCTGGCCTCACTGAGGGGCCGGACGGGACAGGGTTTTGAGCGTCTTACGTACAGGTGTTGTCTGCAGCCCTTGGTGAGAAGGAAGTCACCGGGCGGGCACGTGCGCAGTAAGCAGCGAAGGGGTGTGAAGCCTGGAAGGAGCAGCCACGGAGAAAGGGCGGCGGGGCGGGGCGGGGCGGGCCGCGCAGGTGTGCGCAGGGCCCGGGGGGTTACTGCGCAGGAAGACGGGACGTGCCTGGGGCTGCCCGTTTTTAAAAAGTCAACCTGAATTTTTATTTGTGATGAAATACACATAAAACGACCATCTGAGTCACTTACGAGCTAAGTATGCTCGGACTGTAGAACCGTCGCCGTGTCCCGCTCGCAAACTCTTGCCGTCCTGCAGCGGCCGGCTCTGTCTCCTTGAAACGCGAACCCACGTCCCCCCTGCCCCGGGCCCGACACCTCCTCACGACTCTGACTCTGACCGCGCCAGGAGCCTCACTGCGGCCTTCTGACTGGTTTAGCTCCCTTAACACACTGTCCCCGGGCCAGAATCACCTTCCTTTTTAAGGCTGAATACTCCTCCACTGTTCATGCATTTCATCCATTGATGAAGTTAGCCTGCGTCCGTCTCTTGGCTGCCGTGAGTGGCGCTGCTGTGAACACAGGTGTGCAAGCACCTGTTCAAGACTCGGCCTTCACGGCTTTGGGGTGTACGTCCAGCCATGGAGTTGCTGGCTCGTGCTGTTTTTGACTTTTCGGGGAACCGCCGTAGTTTCTGCCGCAGTGGCCACACCATTTCACACGCCCACCAACAGTGCACAGAGGTTCCAGTTTCGCCACGTCCTCACCAACAGTATTTCCAAGCATTTCACAGCGGCCGTTCCGGTGAACGTGAGTGCTTCTCCCGCCGTCGTCTTTACGTCTCCCTGAGTCGTGTGCGGAGCAGCTTCCCTGTGCTCCTGGGCCGTCTGTCTTTTTTGGGGGTGGGGTGGGGGGATAACTATTCAGTCCTTTGTCCACTGTTGACTTGTTCGGGTGAGGCTGTAGAGGGTGTACACCCGCGATCCCCCCTTACTAGGAACGCGACTTGCACTTTCCCCCTTGGTGTAGGTTTCCGTTTCAGCCTGTGGATCGCATCCGTGGATGCACAGTTGGGAGTTCGGACCTGGCAGGCCGCCTCTTCCCAACTGTCATCTCCCGAACACAGAAACGCACCCCCATGTTGTCCAGGCCAGTCAGCTTTGAACTTGGGTCTGGTTCTTGGGGGGCAGGTTAGCACAGGGGGCGGGGAGTGGCAAGGAGGGCTGTGCGCCGCTCGGGACTGGTGTCTGCTGGGCGGCTGGGCTGCGTTACGGGCGTGGATATGCGAATGGGTAGAACACTCTGGAAGGATGCACACCGAGCTGAAGCAGGCGCCTCGGGGTGGGCGGGTGCGGACACTTTCATTTCCCCTGCTGTGTGAGCATTCACGCGGAGAACGAGAAACAACAGGCCGAGCAGGTCAGTCCTCCCAGTCCTGCCTCGGCGCCTGACCTCCCGGCCTCCACTCCGCACCCCCCGCCACGTGCCTGAGCGCAGCTAGCTCCCGGGGTCCCTCGGGGTGGGCCAGGCAGCCAGGGCTGAGCGCCACTAACCGGTTCCTGAGCATCTCCTCGGCACCACCCGGGCAGCCCCGCCGAGACTCTGTGCTCAGGGCCGCACGCGGTCTTTCTTACCATCAGAGCAGTTTGGAAACAGAGTCCCAACTCCCACCGCTTCGGAGCCAGAATGGACTCCGCGCGCCCCTGCTCTGAGCTGCTCCTTCCGCTAAAGCGGGCAGCGGGTTTCTGCAAAGGCAGTCAGTTGTCCTTCTGCCTTGGTCCTGTTTTCAGGGGGAGCTCAATGGGCAGAGAGGCCTTGTACCTTCCAATTTCCTAGAAGAAGTGCCTGACGACGTGGAGGTCTACCTCTCCGACGTGCCGTCCCAGTACTCGCAGGACACGCAGCCGCGCTCCAGGACCAAACGGGTAAGCCCGCCCCCGCCCGCCCCGCCCTGCGCACCCGCGGCCCCCGCGGCCCCCGCACCGCTGCTTCTGTTCCCCGGGCCGGAAAGCACGTGCCCATAGTTCTTCTCTGCCCTTCCACGGGGGTTGTCTAAAAGTTCTTAATCCTGAGCCTCATCACCTGCTCTAGTCACAAAGGGACTTCCCAGCCTGCGTCAGATGCACATTCCAGTGTGATCACGAGTGGAAGGGCCGGCTGGCCCTCAGGTCTGCGGGCAGTCGCGGCTACCTGCCCGGTTAGGGTGTTAGCAGGCCCCCTTAACAAGGACCGGAGAACTTCTCAGCCATACTTAACTAGTAGATTACATTCATGTTTAGTGTCTCATTTTTATTTTACTTCATCACTGCAAGTTTTTATATATTATATTTTTATATATATATTTTTATTTCTTTGCTCATCTGCTTGGAAACAGAAGAAGAGTGTTCATTTCACACCTTAATCAGGCAATGTAGCCTTCACGTAAGTGAGCAACTGAAGATACCCATACAGATACCGGCTTAAGCTACCTTAGCCCGGCTAACGCGGTAGACTTAAGGCTTCACTGTGGGGTGACAGAAAAGAAATATGTCTCAAAACCTCATTGGACCTAAAGCATTACTTGGTCTCAGTTGTAAAGCAACTGAATCTGTAGTGAAATCAGTCATCTTGAATAATCATTTCCTACAACTTACATTAAGAATATTTGAAAGGCCACCATTGGGAACATATTTCTTAACAGGCTAATTGTTTGTTTACACAGAGCGTTCCAATGTCTCCTCATGACTAAAGCTGCATATTGCATTGTTAGCCACTCGTGGAAAAAGCACAATCTAGTAAATGTTTACTGTAGGAAATTTTACTTAAAAAAGCACAACTCGAGATGGAGCGGAGGAGGAGAGCGAGCGAGGCGCTCTCGAGTTGGCGCTGGCCGCCCCGCGCGGGCGCCACCCTCCCAGGGCGCCCGGGCTCCTGGGCGCAGGGCGCGCTGGGAGCGCGGCGGCTGCGGACGGCGCCGTTGGTACCAATGCAATACTGAGCGAGCGAGCGCGCAGCTCAGACGCTGCACTAGCCGAACACACGGTATCTTCAGGTGTACTCGGGATGCTGTATAGGTGTTTTCCATTAGAATTAGACCTTGATTGTAAATCCAAGCAAGCTTGAAGCCCCTTGGCTCACACCATTGGCCTGTTGAACGGTGAACACTCTTTAGAAAACGGTTCGCTCTGGTGAGGGGAGGGCCAGCGGGAGGACAGCTCCCCGCGATCTCGGGCGCCCGTGACGAGGCAGCGAGACGCCGCCGTGCGCTCTGTGCTGACACAGACGCGTCTTTAATCGCTTGGAAATAATGAAAGCATACACCAAGGGCCTTTAAGCTTTCTTTGATTGTAATTAAGGTTCATTTTAGTTGTTTTTTTTTTTTCTTTCAACCGGTGTGCCATCTCCAGTGTTTCTGCAGTAACTAACCCACCCAGGAGTGCGCTCGGCAGGGTCAGGGTTTTACACACCCCCGTAGGTTTCCAATACAACACGATTCCCTTTAAGAACCTCTGCTTTTAAGATAACTGTTGGGTACTCGGCCAACTTGACTCTCACTCCAGTTTCACTTTTTGTTTTTTCCTCTGCTTTGGGTCTTAATTTACAAGTAAACTACCTAGCTTTGTTTTGACAGCCACCCCTCCCCTGAGAGCCAGCACGGGTGGCCGGGTGGTGGGGGTCTCTGAGCCGAGCCATGGGAGGGGCGTGTGCTCCCCGTGGGGCCCCGCCCCGGCAGCAGGGCAGCACCCCTAACCTCTCCTGGTGGGAAGCGGGGCAGTGTGTTGCTGTTACTTGGCGCTCATGCACTCAATAAACTGTAACAATGTACCTACTAGGTTCCTCCTGAGGGTTCAGGTACAGCAAGGAGAGCACCATCCCCCACAGCCCATCTCCATTCGGGGTCACCTACGTCATCTATGGGTACTGGTAGTCCTGGGAGAGGCAGGGAAATGTCCTCGAAAAAGAAAAAGGGGCTGCTTTCCAAAGGCAAGAAACTGCTGAAAAAGCTGGGTGCAGTGAAATGATTCATGTGCTTCTGGACAACTTCCAAATCTATGTAATTTTCTTTAATTCCAAACTAGGGCTTTCATGACTCAAGTACTTCCTAAAAAAAACCAATCTTCTCCCCCGCCACCAGTAGAGAAGTGCTCTTTGCACTACCATCCACTTTAACCACCTGCAAGGACAAAGGGCCGCGCTGCCCCCTCGCAGCCCCGCCCACCTGCGCGTGGTGCCGGGTGGGGGCGGGCCCTCGGGAAGGAGCGGGGCGGCAGCTCTTTGCAGCTCCCTCCCTACTGTGGTTCAGCCTTTGTGCATTGGTCATCTGCCCTTACAGGAATGATTTCAACCTTTCTCCCTTTTCAAAATGCTTGCCTCATAATGCATAACTCACGTTAACTCTGGTCTTGAAATTCCTAGTTTAATCGCCTTGATGTTCTGCCTTATAAATGCACAGTGGTTTGTACTGTCTAATAAAACTGCGGTGTACACTCTGTATGTGCGTGCAGTGCTCTCCATCCTCACACACACAGCGCTTTGAAATCGAGTTGCACACACTTAAGATCCCGGCTTTTCATCTTTCAAAGCCAGCCAGGCAACACAGAAAATGTTTACTTACTCAGATCATTCAGAGAGGAGAGGAAGTGACTCTGGTAAAGCACCACCACTCCAATGTGCCAGAAAGCTGTAACAGTCACTGCTTTTAGTGTTACATTTTGTGGCATATGGATTTTCATTACTTTCACTGTCAGAACTCCATACACAAACAGTCAACAGCAAACAGCACACACGGAAAGCAATCCACATTAACGCATAAGCCACACCAAAAACATCCTAAATTAAGTCTGTTCAAACTGATTCCAGACCGACCTTCACCATTGGCACATGAACAAAAACACATTTACAACGTTGCCGGCAGATGGGTTTGATGGTTACTATTTTGTAATTCTTGTCCACTTGTAAATTGTTTTTACTCTTTATACATACTTTTCAGACTGCCTTTCTTTTGTAATTTATGGAAGGTTTATAAATGAATGACAGAGCTTTCCCCATTGTGTCTTCAAAAACTGTAAATTGTAATATAGTAGTATGTGGTAATTTATTAAAAGGAAATTAATGTGTGGTTAAGTTCTGTGTGGGTGTGTGCATGTGTACAGCTAGTGTAAAATATTTTATAGAAATAAAATGTTATTTTATACAGTGCTGTTTATTCTGTAGGTTTGTTTTGAACACTTTTTACCACAACAGCATAACTGAGATCCTTTCTCCTATACGTACAAGAAAAATTCTAACCTTTTCCGGTACTACTGTTTTCTGAAAATAATTCTGATCTGTCTGGGTAGTCATTTACAAAGTTCTGTCACACTTGCATCACTGGTGACAATCCACTCAGCGGCAAACAAAAGGAAATTAGCGTCAAGCCAGTATTTCTTGTGAAATACTCATATGCAACAAAAACTTCGAGAGTGAATTCAAACCGCAGTCATAATATTTCCATTTGGCAACTTTAGAATTCAAATGATCTAATAAAGAGCTACACCACCTAAGTACTAAAATACAACCTAGTGTTTCATACACAACACGTTTTCCTAAAAGCCTGTAATTTAAAAATCCCCCAAATAATAGAGCTTATTCTAATCAAGAGGTAAAACCAACAGGCTTATGGCAAAGTGAAAACATAATCTAAATGCATAACTTGATGAAACTATATACAAGCATATAAAATTATAACTGCTATCATAGTGTCCTTCACACTGAATTATGCTTCCACCTACTACATCTACAAAAAAAAAGTTATGTTTGAATAATTGATGACAAAGAAGTACCGCATAATCTCATTTACATGTGGAATCTAAAACATTCGAACACGCAGAAGCACAAGGTGGTTGCCAGGGGCCGAGGGTTGGGAATGTGGGGGGGAGGCTGGGCAAAGGGCACAAAGTTCCAGGAATGCGAGATGAATAAATTCTGGAGATCTAAAGTTAAAAAAAACTGAAATGCTAGATCAAGTGGAATGTCTTACATTAAAACTTCAGTTTAATAAATACCAATATAAGAAATTAAAGTCTACACAACAGCATGAATGTGCTTAATGCAACTACACACTCAAAAATGACTGAAGTGGTAAACTCTGTTATGTAGACACATCAACAGAATAAAAAGAAATGATGACCATTTCTCCAAAAAAAAAAAAAAACCAGTGAAAGTAACCATGACTAAGTCTTTGGAAAATATTCACAAATTCCCTAAAACACGGAAATGCAGGCTAGCCCAGAACGACAAAGACACTGTAAGAACACTAGACCAACAGCATCACGGATGTAGATGTGAAAGAGTCTGTAACAAAACGCTAGCAGCAACGTATCCAACAGCACGTGAGAAGCAGGACGTGCTGGGCTCAGCGTGGTCCAGCCTAGGACTGAACGCTGGCTCAGCACGCTGGAGGCAGAACCGGTGTCTTTTGCTGTATTAGCAGGACAGGATGGAGAAGCTATCTAACCACATCAGTAGATGTGAGGAAAGCACTGGACAAAATCAACACCTGTTCAGGAAACTAAGAAAAGAAAGGAGTTTATTTCAACTTGATAAAGTTAACAGCCAGCACACCTGACGGTGAAAACCTGGCCACGTCCCCCTTCTGTCAGAGCCACGGCCAGCGTGTCCGTGTGACTCCGCGTGCTCAGCACTGCACCAGGGCTCGCGGCCAGCACCACAAGGAGGAAAGTCACACACTTCTGAACGGAAGAAGTGAAGCAGCCTGTCTGCAGGTGATGTGACTGTGTGTAGAACTTACGGGGCCTACAGAATGCTGTCAGCACCAGCAGGTGACTGTGGCAAGGGGCTGGGGTCCAGGGCCAGCACACAAACATCAGCTGTGTTTCTACAAACCAGCAGGGAACAATCACAAATAAAAATACAGATATAAGTGACATGAGATAAATAAATGTAATTAGTTACAACAGCATCAAAAACATGAAATTCTTAGGGACTAATTTAACAAAATATATACAAGACTTGTATACTGAAAAAGGTAAGGAACCGCCTCAAGACTATGAGAAAGCCCCTAAACAGAGGTATGTAACGGGCATGGTTTGGAAGATACAATACTGTTAGATTGTCAACTTTCCCCCAAGCAGATTTACTGGTTCTACTGAAATGCCCGTCAAGACCGCAGCAGGCTTTTTCTAGAAACGGTAAGCTGATTAAAGACTTGTACAGAAATGCAAATGCCCTGGAATAGCCAAAACCATTCTGAAAAAGATGAACAGAGTTGAAAGACGCACACTGCCTGAACGTGAGACTCACACAGCTGCAGAGATCAAGGCAGTGCTGCTTCCGTGTAAAATGCTGACGTAAGTCAGTGGGACAACACGGGGAGTCCAGAGACAGGCTCTCACAGACAGCCAGTTCATTTTCAACAAAGGTGCCACGGCAACTCGGTGGGGGAAACACGGTCTTCTCCAGAAATGCTGCAGGAAGAAGGGGACTAACAGGTGGGGAAACTGACCCTAATCTTACATAATACACAAAATTGTAACTCAAAATAGAACACAGGCGTAAATGAAAACCTTAAGACTATAACATTTCTAGAAGAAAACATAGGAGAATTTTGGCTAGAAAGATGTCTTCCATGGGGCACAAAAAGCACACGTTGTAAGAAAGAAGCCCTGATACCTGGACTTCACTAAGGTGAAGGATGTCTCCTCTCTGACACAGAAGGAAGTAAAACAGCAAGGCAGAAACTGAGAGGAAACACTCACAGTGCAGATATCTGACAAAAACATCTGTATCCAAAACACGTAAAGAAGATTCACAACTCAAATACGACCAACCAATTAAAAAAATACGTGCAGAAGACCTGAACAGGAACTTCATGGAAGATGTAAGAATGGCTAATACGCACACAAAAATTCTCAGTGTCAGTGAGCAAGGAAATGCAATGAATAATCCAAGCGAGGTAACGCCACACACCCACCGGAGCGGACAGACTGACGTCATCAGGCAGCGCAAGGATGCGGAGCAGCTGGAACTCTCACGCAGTGCAGGGCACAACGGCTCGTCGGACCAGACATGAGCACACAGGTCCAGCAACTCTACGTCTATGTATTTATCCATGAGAAGTAAAACTACGCCCACACAAAGGCTTGAACAGGTTTCTTCGTAGTTTAGAGTAGCCCAAGATAGGAAGGATCCGAATATTCTGTCTGTCCCTGTGATCAAACAGCGCGAACATCCAGTGGTGCACGGCTCAGCAGGCACCACGCAGACAACAAAGTGCAGATCACTGGCCGCTTGGGGTCAAGGTGAGAAGGGCCGTTCGCGAAGAACTAGGAAGGGACCTTCTGTGGGAGGACTGTTCTGGATCTTGATGGTGACAGAGACAACGGAGTGTGTACATTGGTCAGAATTCATCAAACTGAATTCACTTACGTGTAAACTACAAGAAAGTTGACTTAAAGCAATAGCGTATAAGCTGATTAACAGACAGCGGAATTAAAGTGCTCGAAGATTCTTGTGTTGTTCCGAAAGGAGGTTCACTTCCTACTCTGATGCCCCAGCCTCACAGGCCCGAGGCCCGAGGCAGGGGCATCCCTAACAGGCAGGGTGAAGGCACTCACGTTCCTAAGACAGGCGCTCTGTGGCCCGGGGGCCTCCTGGCAGGGCAGCTGCATCTCCCTGCACCCCAGAACCAGGAGCCACGTGCCTGCTCATCCGGAGGCAGCCCTGCCGCGCCCCAGCCGAGCCCCAGCCGAGCCCACGTGGCCCCTCCACAGGGCTCCTTTCTGCCACACCTGCTCAGCCCTCCCGCTGGACTTGGGTGGGTAGGGAGCACTGGCAAACGGGGACTGGATGGCCCTGCTTCTCCCGGTGCCCACAAAGAAAACAGGCCAACGGCAGAACATCCAGTGCTGAAGTGCAGCTGGAGGCTCGGACTTAGGACCCAGGTTTCCTGGAAGCCTGACTGGTTGCTGCCCACGGATGAGCTCACCTCTCTGCCTGGTGTAATTTCAGTCCAGCTGGTGCCAACATTCCTGAGTGTTATGTCCAAGTCTCAAACCAAGAGTCTTAAGAGAACTGGGCGGGGGCCTGCCACTAGGAGTTTTTAAAGCCCTCTCTGGTGGCCAGAACACACAGCCAGGATGCAGAGCTACTGCAGAGGATAGAAGGGTCCCTCAACACAAATGCATAAATATGGGGGGGGGTTACTGAGTTAAGGGTTACATGCATTATTTATCCTTTCAGTAAGTTTCTGAGAAACTGCCATGCGTCAGACATTGGTAAAGACACTGGGGAGTCAGAGGTTTCTGTCCTCCTGGATTCCTAGAAGCATTTGCATCCTAGTTGGGGAACAGAAAAAGCACAGCAAGTAACATGCTGTTGATACCAGTAAGGCTGGGGAAAAGAGAAAGGGCGCACCTCTATGCTGGTGCGATGCTGAAAATACAGAAGGCGGTCCCTCTGCTGGTGACACCTTAGCTGACCTGAAGGAGCACGTGGAAACCTGGCCCTGAGGCAGGGTGAGGGCACCCGGGCAGTGTGGGAAGGGCAGGACAAGCAACGCCATGCCCTCACGGTGACTGCCTTTCGGAGATGGGAACCCAGTGCAGATACAAGAAGATGTGTGACTCCATCACTCTGTTACAGACCAGTTCAAGTGGCTCTTCCAGGGACTCGGAGGAGACAGAGGTGGCTAGAACAGGGCGCAGAGCCGTGGCTGGACATTCATAACACTGTGAAGGCAGAGCTTATAAGATTTAATGGGGAACCCAAAGGGTGACATGAGAAAGAGTCGGCTCAAGGAAGATGCCAAGAGTTTTGGCCTGAACATCTGGAAAAATGGAGCTCCAGGGAGGGGAGTCACAGCTCAGCTTCAGGCATAAGTTATTCACCCAGAGGTTCTCAAAGCGTGGCCTGGGGACCCCTAGGTCTTTCAGGGTTCTTTCCTACGACCGTTGCCAGAGCAGACACCACACCCTTGCTCAAAGCCCACCAGCCTCTCCCTTGAACAGGAACTAACATGTCTCCTTAAGTCACAAGGTCCAGGCACAAAAGAAGAGATGTGAAGAGAAAACCAAAAACCAGCCAGAATCAGCTGCAACAAAGATGGCAACAAATCCGACCTTCGCAGACCTGAAGTCTCTTCCCATACGCTGATTTTCCTGCATCAGCGTCCCACGTGACACACCCTCCAACGGCCACGGCAGGAAGCTGCAGACCAAAACAGGACAGAAAGGGTGGCATTCTGCAAGGCCCGCCCCTTTCCCCAGAAGAACGCAGCAGCCTCCTCATCGCTAGCCTTGCTCCCCCCACCCCCGTGCTTGTTCTTTACAGCACAACCCCTCACCCACTCGGACAAGGAGCTGCTCTGTGAACTAACCCCTGCTCTCCATCCTCTGGCCACTGAAGGAAGCCGGCTCCGCGCCACCCTCAGCTCCGCCTCCCTCCTGCTGTGTGAACCTCAAGGGAAAAGAGCCCTCCCCGCCCGGGCAGAGGGCGTTCCCCAGACGGGCCACAGGCCTAGCTCAGTGACACTAAGAGGTCATCCGCCTTCCTCACTCTAATTCTCTCACAAGTAAACAGTATTTTCTGGAGGCTTCAGGACACAACAGCATCGTTCTAACAGTTACTGGAACACGGGCTTACGAACCGTTTTAGAAACGATTTCTCATATACGAGTACCAGTGAGCCAACAAAGCAAAATCTGCGTCCTCCGCAATCTGAGGGCTAAGGAGGTTTCAAGACCGAGAAGTCTGAGAACCGCAGCAGCAGCAGCACTCGCCGGGAGGCAGCTGGTTGTAGGAAACTAGGGCTGGGAGCACAGACTGAACGCGTCGTCAGAGAGACGAGCCCTGGGCATGTCAGCAGGGCTGAGATACCCGCCCCACCTCTCGACCCGGACGGACAAGAGGCGAGCCCGTGTCACTCACAGGCAGACGGTGTCCCGGGGAGAGCGGGTGTGTTGAAGCAAGAGAACCTTGTCAAAGGAGGGGCTGCTGACACAGAGGACCTCTGAGCGCCCAGAGGACGGTGTCCAAAGAGGCAGCCCGAGCAGCTCCTTGGACACTGGTCTGAAACAGGTG